AGCTGAATACCCTTATAGTGAATGCGGTAATCCAGCACAGATATACAAGAAAGTGACCTCAGTATGTCTCCTTTTTTGTCACTTTATTCAGTTTGTTTATTGTTTGGTAACTAGGCTTACCATGTATGGCACCTTCTTGACGCAGGGAAAGCTACCAGCATCATACTATAGGCTCAATGACTTGGAAGCACAGAGATTCATTGGGAAATGCTTAGTTGCTGCTTCAAATAGAGTATCGGCAAAAGATCTATTGTTGGATCCTTTTCTGGCACCAGAACCTGTTATTAAAGGGATTGAAAGTCCAAAACCTTTCCTGAGTAATGGAGAACTGAATAAACTGCAATTGGAGGAGGATGATGACCCACCTAGGACAGAAATGAAAATCACAGGGAAATTGAACCCGGAAGATGATACAATCTTTCTTAAAGTGCAGATTGTCAACAAAGATGGTATATTTCTAATGCTAGCTTTTGTGCTTCACTTTTTTGCACACCCAAGCTAGTCTACTCGGGGATGACAAAGAACTCAAATGTTGGTTATGCAATCCAATCCAACTGATATGGGTTGAATTGGATGGTGGTGGGTCTGATCCAATTTCAATGGATATCCACTATGTTCTTTATCCATGAAACTATGGATACCCATTTAATTATTCATTGTAGGTTTGATCTTTTTACCGGTGTACTTAATTTGTCTTTGAGATGATTATCAATCAAGTATCCTGATGTGGTTGTTATTATGGTCATACAAGTGCGGATCCAAATGAGCCTGACCTTAATTAGATCCCATCCTAATCACTAAATAAATGTAAGAGCATTTAGGTTCAACCCAAATACTCAAATGGAACCCATTGCCATACATCTACTCATGTCTTGTTTGATGATTATACTGGTTTTATGATGACTTCATGTTTCGTTTTCTTGCAGGTTCTGCTCGAAATGTGTTCTTTCCGTTTGATATACTACATGATACTCCGATGGATGTTGCAACGGAGATGGTGAAAGAGCTTGACATTGTTGATTGGGAACCATCTGAAATTGCTGGAATGATTGATCAAGAGATTTCAGCTCTGGTGCCAGACTGGGAACACTCTGATTATGAAGGCAATAATAGACATCAGAAGTGTGATTATGATGAGCATAGTCATGCTTATAACTCTTCCTCGTCATATTCATCCTCCCAGTCATCATCATTCATGGGTACAACCCTTTGGCTACAAGGTATATTTCTGACCACTGAACTTCTTTGATGTTGGAGTTGGTTACTTTTTTTCTGGGTTCTTTTCAATTGTGTGATTCTGAAATTTCCTAATAAAATGCTGGTATAATGAATCTTATTTCAGAAAATCTAAATTAATACATTTCCTGGAAATTGGAAAGAGGCTGTTTTCATGGCCTTAAGCACTCTCCTATGGGCTATGAGCCTGTAAAAAGTTTGTACCATAACTTCTATTTTCCCAGAAAGAAAGTGAAATGTAAATGCTAATTTGGACCTTAATGCATAGTTTCATGATAGCTTGAACCTATTTAATGATAGCTTGAACCTGTTTATCCCCTATATAGAACAAGGTTCATAGTTTACTTACGAAATATGCTACTAGTAGTAAATTAGTGACATGGTCGAAACTACAAGAATTGTTCAGTAACCACTGGTTGCAGTTAAACCAAGAATATTTATTCGTTCTTCTAGATGAATAAACAAAAGGAAGGTTGTATGCATTATGCTTGAGTAGGCAGAGAGTAAGACTGATGAAGGATTTTTATGGAAAATCTGCATTCAAATACTTTTTTTTTAGACCACAAGTAGGTCATATGGTAACATTTTCAAATCCTGCAATATCAATTGGAAACAATTGCTGTTGCAGATAACTTGTACTATGATGATGCCAGCTCGCAAAGCTCTTCACAGTCAGGATCATCACATTCCATCTTAACTTACACTTGTGATGATGATGATCATACGAGCACAAGGAGAGATAAACATCCCATCGTGTCAAAAACTCACAACTCAAGAAGATTTTGTCCAACAGGAAATTCGAAGTCTGAGGGGCAAGCACTAGCTAGAACTGCATACAAAAACTGCATGTCGTTGCTCGAGTCGCAACACCAACACCATGGAGGTCATGGCTCTGGAGACAGAAGGACCAGCTTGACGAGGAACCAGTCGCTAGTTGACGTTCACAGCCAGTTGCTGCACCGGTCATTAGTAGAAGAGGTTACCAAGAGGCGACTGTTCAATACAGTTGGAGCCGTTGAAAATATTGGTTTCCAGGGACCTCCTCCTGATGTTTCTGAAAGACAGTCAAGGAGAAGAAACTGAACGATCACAAGGATGTTGATCATAAAGTTGCTTCTGACAATTAGGGGGAACAAAGCAATCACCTGGCTTTCTGACAGCATCAATCAGGTGATGTGTAGATATTAAAATAGGGGGTGTGAATATGTATATGTAGTATGTTTGTGAAACGTTGTGGCTTGCAATAAAGTTTTCACCTTTCATCTCCCATATGAATGAGCGTGGAGTATCATGAATTTTCCATACAATCCAGCCTTCTGAAACAAGGAAGAACTCTTACCATCCAGTTTGGTAATCTAATTTTATCACCAGGTTGCTAATTTCATGAATGTACTTCTGTTCACCGTTTTACAAATTGCCAGATGTCATGCCATGCTAGGCAAGCACAGAAAAAACTCCAGTTTTGACAATAAGGCTAGCATTAACTGTTTGCATATGCCTTGTTTCCATTCTCGTGTTTGTCTTTCCCTGTGCATGTTACCTTCCTTTCTTTGCCAAAATGTTGTTTCTTTCTCAAATTAGCCTCATAAGTGGCTCTATTCACCTTGTATAATATAACACCTGGCAAAGGAAGGCGTTAAAGCAGGATCTGCCTCCCTTTTTTGGCTGTGTTCAAAGTTGACACAATATTCTGAGAAGGCAAGAAGAAGATCCCAAAACCTTCTGCAAGTCTTTTTGACCAGGTTTTTCCTTGGTATGCAGCGAAACTTAAACAAATTGCTTCATTTGTGTAGTGTGAGATGGAAACAAAGCTCACAGAAACCAGACTGAAACACAGTCAATAGTATCATGCTCTGCCTTTAATGAACAGAATTGCAAAAAGAAACCAAGTCCTCACTGTAGAGGTCTTTGTACCATGTTGCAGCAACCATAAGTTGCCTTGAGTTATGAAGGATGCTCTTTGCTCTCTCCCAGGTGGCTTGCTTTCACTTTGTCTAGACCAGGGAAATCAAGTCCAATAAAATGGGTAAAAGAATTTAACTTGCTGAAAGTCCAGGTATCGAAGTTACTACTGTTTTAGCAGCAAAACAGCTATTATGTTCAAAAGAAAAAAGAAGTGACAGGCTGACAGCTATGCAGAAAGTATCTTTGTTAGTTCATAATTAAGAATTCTGTATCGTCTAATCCATGCAGTTGATGATATTTAAGACCTTGGATGCATGAGAATTGAGTAAGGCTGATTGATGAAGTGGAAATTACAAAAGCATGGCAACCTAAGGGGAGAAATTGACCCAGCTAAACCTAGCTTTAGCTTGTGGTCCTTCTGATAATTATTGCAGTCTTAAAATCCATTTTCTTAGGAGCTACAGCTCTGGTAGTCTGTGTCACATATCAAGGCTCTTGGTGTGGACATAGCAGCTGATCCTTATCTTATGAGAAGAAGATAAGTCACTTTCCACATAATTCAGCTATTATGGGTTTTTTGTGGACAGATCCCAAATTCTGATGTTATGATTGACTAAAACCACCATACCCATGAATCACAAATTCAGTGGTGTTTCACTTTCACATCAAAACATATGAAGTCAGCTTCCCTAGCTCTGCATTTCTCTGTAATTGTGAGCAGATGCATCAGTCAATGACATACCCAGATTTAGAAATCCCCCAATGCTTGCTAAAACTAACCTAAAACAGCTATCAGATGCAAACCCATCACAGAAATTGGCAGTTTACTAGATTTATACATGCATCTAAGGATATACCCCTATCCTAGCTTCATATATAAATGCATCTAAACTTGTGAAGGAGAGCCATTCATTGAAGAAAGGAATCAAGTAAATTGTTGGTGGTCCTAAGTTAAAAGGCTAGTGCTGGTGGTGTGAAGGGTGAAACAGCACTATATATTAAGCTGGAAAAAGGGTTTCCTAAAATGGTCACAATATTGGTGGGCAATGGTGTCATCATGTAGGATGTGGTCCTGTCCTAAAACCCCATTAGGGTACATGTGGAATCCAGAGTTGGCTCTGTTTCTGTGTGATAGCAATTTCTCATGGGTTTTGGGAGAGATTTTGGTTGGAATTGAGCTGTGGGCGGAAAGGAATGGAATGGTGATATAGGAACAAAAAAAAGAGTAAGAAACCACTGGCAAAGTCATCCTTCTATCTGCAACTGTGCATGGTAAAGAAAATGAATGAATCTTTGGCTGGAGAAACCAAAAAATCTTCGCATTTTTCAGAAATTTGGAAGTGTAATCAAAAGCATATAGTAAAGTGGGTTGAGTCCACTTTCCATAGTTTAGGCCTTTAGGACCGAGCAAGGCCATTGTGGTGTTTGTTTTATGACTCTTGCCCTTCTTTTTTAAGTTATGGAATTAATAATGAGAATGCAGCAAAGCAAAGGATATGATGAAGCGTGTGGGAGGGTCTACTGAGAACAACTAACTCTATATGGTGTGTAGTTCACTAGTTCTAAGGTGATTGCTTAATACTTTGGAGGCATGGTAACAGGCCAAGTTACCTGCTGCTGTCTTTTAGCCTCCATCACTCAAAAACCTCAGGCTCATGCAGCTGATTAATAATGACAAATAATTGAAACCCTCATTTTAAAAAACCATTGGCCTTCACAAAGTTCACTACTTTTTCTCATGCCCATAAGAAAGTAGCCTGCTTTTCATTGCCATAAGAACATAAGGAAAGTTGGTACTATCCATCTATCTTACATACATTCATACATACATCTTACTTGTACAAGGACTATTTTCATTGTTAAGACATGTGAAACCAGATTTGTTCAAATGCCCTGACTATAACATCATGGTACTTGGTTGAATTGAGGGAGAGGTAACAAGCAAGAAGATCCTCAAGCTCCCTTGAACCCCTGATTCCATTCTCCACTATCATTTCCACCATGGATTCCATGAAGTCTCTCTCCGGATCAACCGACTTCTTCACCACTGCAAAGCTCTCTCCAATCCTGTTCCCTGCTGCTGCTGCTGATAAGCATGATGTGACAGCAGTACTCTTCCTACTGCCCTGAACTTTCCTGCTTGCAAGCCTCCTCGGCGAGTTGGCCTTCAGCCTTATCCCCGTGGCAGAGTACTTCTTATTCGATGTGGATTTTCGCGGAGAAGGACTAGACTTGGTCCTTTTCTTTTGATCAGAAACAGACCTTTGTGCTTTCACATGATCCATTCTAGATGGCTTTGTAACAATGGGAGGAAGCTTCTCCAGCTCATGAATACCAACCTTGTTGATGTTGTTCCTTTCAAGTGAATGCCTATTCACATCGATGATGATGTCAGCCGTGGAGGAGCTGAGCTTACATGAGTGACATGATGTAGACCATGCAGCTGAAACCACCTGATCGTCAAATGACCTAGGAGGTCGGGCGAAAGACGAGGCGAGATCATCATCTTCATCTTCGGATTCGGTTAGAATAGAGCCGCAGAAGTCAGGGGAGGACTCAAATGGAGAGGTGGAGTAGCCAGGGGAATGGAGCAGAGTGGGGTTATTACTGTTGTTGTCACGGCATTTGCTGCAAACGGACGATGAAGAAGAGGAGGAGAGCAGCTTAGGAGAAGGTTTGTAGACAGCCTTCCTCCTCCTGCTGCTTCTCCTAGGTGGATCAGGAAACTGAGTGTCTGATGCCTTCTGGTTCACAGGTGAATTGTACAGCTTGTGATGCTGATAATGATGATGGTTGTTGGTAGCTCTGCCCGGTTTCCCTGACAAGTAGGAGGAGTACCTTGGCTGCTGTGGAGCCCTTGTGGCTGCTGCTGCTACTGTGGAATTAGGGGGCCTTTTCTTCTTGTGATTGGAGGAATGGTGTGTGGTTGTGGGGATGGATTTGCTCATGTCTTTGAGCTTGTAAAACCATGCATTTGGGATCATGTCTGACAATCTAAACCTGTGTTTCAATCCCATCTCTCTCTCTTTCTCCTTGTTCTTCTTTTCTGTATGTGGGTTCTTGGTTTTGCTGGAGTTGAAGGATAGAGAAAGTAGGTTTTGGATGATCAAAGGGCTTATAAAAAGGGGGAGGGAGGGAGGGAGCATAAATGGGACATCATCAGGCTGACATGGCTTTTGGAGAATGATGGGTGGTGGGGAGGGTGAGAGACAACAAAGGGATGTCTATCAAAAATGGCCTTTTTTGCTTTCATCATTAACAACCAGCAAAGATTGGCTTAATTTAGCAGATTTTTGTTGTTGGGATGTGAATAATCTCTGTGGGATTGGACGTAATGGAATCTTTAAGGTTAATAAAACAATTAAAACGTCAAGGTGTCAGTAAATCAACGATGAAAATTATGAAGGCTTATCCCTTCTATGTTGGATGACTAAGGAGTGGAAGTATGACAAAATGGGGGATGAACTATCACTCTACCACGCAAATCTCAGCTCTAACTAGGGTGTAAGCTTGGCTCTCGAGACCAACCAATCCGTTCGACTTTAAGGATCGGGTTGGATCAGTTTAGAGTCGGGTAATCTTTTGACTCTGCAAGCGTTGGGTCAAGTCAACGTAGGGGTAGACGCTCTTTGATCTTGTGACTCAAAGAGTGTCTGAAATTTCTTATACAAACACATTGGACATGTTTATAAAATTTAGAATTTTAGGTACTATAATGCAAAGTGAAAAGTATATAAGTACTAAAATATAATTTACCATCAAAATATTTGGACTTATTTGTAAAAAATTAGGTACTAAAATGTAAGAAAAATAAATTTGGGTAAAAAAATATAATTTTTAAAAAAGCAATGTGTTGATTTGACCCGATATATCCACTGACCCAGCCTGGAAAAAATCCCAAAGTACACTAGTTTTTAAAAAAAATTCCCAAAATACATAAGTTATAAAAAAAATTCCAAAAGTACACATGTTTGGGCATCACCGTGTTTGACAAAAGCGGTGAAGGTTATCACCGCGTTTGTCAAAGACGGTGAATATTTCACCGTTCTAAAAAACAACGGTGAAGTATTCACCGTTTTTGTACAAAACGGTGAAGGAATCACCGTTTTAAACAGAGACGGTGAAGGCTTCACCGTTTTTTGCCTAAAACGTATAAATCGAGTCATCATATCCAAGAGTTCCCTGAAACAAACAAGAGTGAGAGAGCAGTTATTTGACCCATAAAGTTGAACTGTTTGCCTATACGGTCAAATGAACCAGCAAGGTTGTGATAATGTTGAAGGAAAGAAAATTTCCAGTCAAGTGCTTCTAGTACTTTAGGTACCTCTGCATGAAGGCCCATTTCAGTCTGCAGTGGGTTAATGCCTTCAGCTACCGATGTAGAGCTTGAGAAACTGCTAAGGAACTCCTAGATTGTAAGGCCATCATAATTATCTTGAACATCATTTATATGGCCAGATGCTTGTGCATTGCCGGAAAATCCTTCCGAGCCACCAAATTCAACTTCCATCCTGAAAACATGAACTAAAAGTCCAAATGAACTTGCATACTAACAATCAGAAATAAAACATTATCCAGATGAAACAACAGAATAATACAAGAGAAAAACCAGAGGCGCGTACTTATTCTGTGAACTTCCAACAGCCTCATCTTCTGGAGGGGAATCATCAATCTCCAGATCAATTACTTCTATCTCCTTACCGCTACTGACATGCTTAACATATTCATTAGGCATCCTTGCATTACTCATCGACAAATCAGCATCCATCCTTGCTGTTGCTCTTTGGGAAGGCACACCAGGTGGGAATATAAGAACTGGCTCATTGTCCGTATTGTCATGGATATCGGAAGATTCTATCAGGTTTAAGTCGCATATCTTGAATGAACCAGGAAACTGCTGCTTCTCTAGATCATATTCGTCATCAATATTCTCTGGGCACTCATGACTATTGCCCAAACTACTTTCGGTTATCAACGACTGCTGAGCAAGTGATACCACTTCCTCTTTTGGAGTCACAAGATTTTCTGCTAATTTATTGGCAGCATTAGGAACAAAGGTGGGAAGAAGATTCTCTCTAGGTTTCTTCTGTTGCTGACTCGTATCACTGTCATCTGCAGGACGCTTCTCGCCTCTTTCCTTAACCGAGCTAGACCTTCCAAACTTCACTGCTTCATTACTCGTTTCAAACTCGCTATCGACATCAAAAACTCCATCTGAAAAAGACCGAGACCTGATGCACTTGCCATGCTCCGATCCATATACTGGACTTACTTTGTTATCCTCCTCAGCACACCGAAGCGGCAACAGTTGAGATAATTCAGCTTGGGAATCCATTGGATCGTTCATCTCGCTTGGAAGGGGATCATCAAAGGCAACATCTTCATCTAAGAGATCTGAGCCTTTGGGCGGTACAGTTTCCAATATGTCTGCTCCATTACTAGAAGCCTGATCAACCTTGGGAACCTTGCTGGTCAATGCAGACCGTATTTTTGTCGGTATCTTGACAAGGTTGCAGAAAGCTAACAAATCAGATCCATTCTTGCTTGAGATATTATCCTCAGGAACAGTATGCTTCTCGCTCTCATCATTGTTCAAATCCTCCATCTCTTCATTCGCGATATTCAAGTCCGTTGAATCTTTAGACCCCTTTACAACTTCAGTATCAGACTCTTCTTTCTCAGCACCAGAAGAGCTTGCCTTGGAAACTGAATTATCACGGGGAGAATTGTATTTCTTGAATCTAGATTCGTCAACATCAGTTGCTTCCTCTTTTCCTCCCAATGCATTATTACGAACTGATACATGCGATTTATCATCCGTACCCTTACCTCCTTGTTCCACTTCATAGTGACCCTCCCCTTCAGGTGACTCCCGATTTCTCTCCGACCCAGAACTACTCCTTCCAGAGTCTCTCACCCACTCAGAACTATAACTCCGGGAATAATCACCTCTTCTCCGCCCTTTAAACTTATTCCGAGAACCATACTCATCGGTATCTCTTCTGTCACTTGAGCCTGCATCAGAAGAACCAGTACTTAATCTTGAGTGGACGGATACCCGGCCTTCTTGCACTGGTGGGGGCTCTTGCTGTAGATAATCAGTAGCCACTTTCTTCAAGGTACCATTCTGCCACTTCCCAGCAAGTGCATTCTGAGGTAACATGCCTTTGGAGACTAGATACTCAGCAGCAAGCCTACCAGCCTCCATCAAGATATCGCCTTTCCGAGGCGGCAAATGGGGTGGTTGCTGAAAGGCTCTTTGTTGTTGCCCAGGACCATGACGATGACCTCCACGGGCAAAGCCTCGATTGCGGAAGGTTCTGTACTCAGAGTTGTAGAACCCATGACCACCACCCCTAGCTGAACCATCTGGGGACATCCTTGAGCCCCCGCCAAAGCCCAACCCCATAGAACCAGACCTATTGTAACCATTTCCAGGACTTCTATGCCTAGCATGCATCTTCTCCCTCTTTCTGATCTAATTGTAATTCAACTAAGAAACCAACCAGGAAATTAAGCTATTTACGACATGCGAAAGAGTTGCAAGTTCACAACTTTCAATTAGGCAGCCCCTCCTTGTAACTGTGATTCTCAATGCAATACAAAAGCTCCTATTGTCAAAAAAAAAAATTTGGCAGCCCCTCCAAACTACCCTTCAATATTTGGAAAAAATCCCAAAGTACACTAGTTTTTAAAAAAAATTCCCAAAATACATAAGTTATAAAAAAAATTCCAAAAGTACACATGTTTGGGCATCACCGTGTTTGACAAAAGCGGTGAAGGTTATCACCGCGTTTGTCAAAGACGGTGAATATTTCACCGTTCTAAAAAACAACGGTGAAGTATTCACCGTTTTTGTACAAAACGGTGAAGGAATCACCGTTTTAAACAGAGACGGTGAATACTTCACCGTTTTTGCCTAAAACGTATAAATCGAGTCATCATATCCAAGAGTTCCCTGAAACAAACAAGAGTGAGAGAGCAGTTATTTGACCCATAAAGTTGAACTGTTTGCCTATACGGTCAAATGAACCAGCAAGGTTGTGATAATGTTGAAGGAAAGAAAATTTCCAGTCAAGTGCTTCTAGTACTTTAGGTACCTCTGCATGAAGGCCCATTTCAGTCTGCAGTGGGTTAATGCCTTCAGCTACCGATGTAGAGCTTGAGAAACTGCTAAGGAACTCCTAGATTGTAAGGCCATCATAATTATCTTGAACATCATTTATATGGCCAGATGCTTGTGCATTGCCGGAAAATCCTTCCGAGCCACCAAATTCAACTTCCATCCTGAAAACATGAACTAAAAGTCCAAATGAACTTGCATACTAACAATCAGAAATAAAACATTATCCAGATGAAACAACAGAATAATACAAGAGAAAAACCAGAGGCGCGTACTTATTCTGTGAACTTCCAACAGCCTCATCTTCTGGAGGGGAATCATCAATCTCCAGATCAATTACTTCTATCTCCTTACCGCTACTGACATGCTTAACATATTCATTAGGCATCCTTGCATTACTCATCGACAAATCAGCATCCATCCTTGCTGTTGCTCTTTGGGAAGGCACACCAGGTGGGAATATAAGAACTGGCTCATTGTCCGTATTGTCATGGATATCGGAAGATTCTATCAGGTTTAAGTCGCATATCTTGAATGAACCAGGAAACTGCTGCTTCTCTAGATCATATTCGTCATCAATATTCTCTGGGCACTCATGACTATTGCCCACGAAATGCCGCCTCATCCTCGTTATCATCAGTATCTTCCTCCTCCTCGCTCACTGATCTCAAATCTTCCTCAGTATCCTCGTCGCTCGACTCGAATGGATAGCTCGGGCTAGAAGGATCAACATGACCACGATCACCAACATCGTCCTCTCGCTCATGTGAAGTACGCCCTGATCGAATGGTATTCTCGATTCCATACCACTCTGGCCCCCAAGCAGGCCATTGAACACCATCGGCCTCAACAAATGGGGTTGGTTTAGGAGGTTGCGAGTATTTGTCCCATCCTGCACTACTCGATCCACCGTAGTTGATTGAACCACCACCCTCCCCGTAACCTCCTGTATAACCACCGCCTTGGTAGTTGCTCGAACTACCACCCCATTCGTACCCTCCTGCAAAACCATCATCATAAGAATACTGGTGAGAATGAGATTCACCGACCGCCTCGGTCTCAACATACACCTCTGCAAGCCGGACTTGGTTATCGCTTAGGAACTGTAACATCATCGTAACCGCGTCATCATCGTTTATGACAACTTCTTGGAAAACGACCCCGCCAGCACTCATGTCTGGATACCGGTAAGTAATTTTGCCAAGTCTCGTCTGTCCGCTCGTACAAACCCTTTCTGCACAAAGATCACAGAGTTTTTGAAAATTGAATCGGGAACCAATGTTCAGCATAATGGATTCGCCGTCCTCATAATCAATGCCTATGTTAGAGTTTGTCACCCTTCCATTCCACCGAATAGTAAGATGAAACTTCTTGAATTTACCCATATCTACAAATCGAGGATAAGTATATATTAGCTTAAAGACAGTAAAATTAACCAAAATCATATTGTACAACTAATATTGTCCATCTCATAACTAACGAAAATAAATTCAACTAACTAACAACAACATAATACGAAAATTAAATCATACTATAACTAACGAACATAAATTCAACAAACTAACAACAACATAATACGAAAATTTAATCATACTATAACTACTAAAAACATAATTAGACAATAATACGAAAAGTCTCAACATACCGAAAAATGTATGTTCTGTGTATTATGCTCGATTTTTGTTGCTGAAATTTGAAGAAGGGGGGAGTGGTTATGTTTTTGCTTCTGCTGGTGGGTTGGTATTTATAGGAAAATCTGCCTATTATTCACCGTTTTTGTCAAAAACGGTGAACAACATCACCGCGTTTGTCTCAAACGGTGAACAATAGGTAGGTGTGACCTAATTTTGACCTACCAGGGGTGGGAAACGTGGGAATATATCACCGCTTTACCCTAAAACGGTGAAGGTAATCACCGTTGTCAACAAAAACGGTGATGTATTCACCGTCTTCCACAAACGCGGTGAATACATCACCGTCTTAGATAAAGGCGGTGAATACGTCACCGTTTTGGTTTTAAACGGTGAAATATTCACCGTCTTTGACAAACGCGGTGATTATCTTCACCGCCTTTGTCAAAAACGGTGATGCTCAAACATGTGTACTTTTGGAAATTTTTTTATAACTTATGTATTTTGGGAATTTTTTTTAAGAACGTGTGTACTTTGGGATTTTTTCCACCCAGCCTACCCTCATCCTAGAAGGTCAGACAAGATCAAGAAAGAAACAAGGACGAGACGGGTACATAAGTTGACCCTTTAGTGACGGGTCACACAGAGTCAGTTACATCTTATTTAGCCTATAGCGCACACACTAACTGCCTTCACTCACGAGCAGGGGCGGAGGGAGAGTGTTAAAGGGTATGTCCCGGGACCCACCCTGGCTCGGGAGCAAAAATGTTAAATTAGATATAATAGTTAATCGAGTATGAAAAATAACACGTATTAAATGAGAATGGTTGAACTTTTAGATGTATGATGTTTGATTTATAAGTTGTGTATCGACATGCTCAATCTTTTTATAACGAGCTTTCTACAAATGGCAATGGTGTATATGATCTGCCCAAAATTAAAGATGTACTTATTCAATATCTACCACATATTTTCACCAAATCATAGCTAGTTTGTAAAAATAATTTTATTTCAATTAGGGATAGGGAGAGTATAACGGGTGGCTCCTACGAAAAGAGTAAATTATTATAATAGTTCATTGAGAATGAAATTTAGCCATTTAGGGCATTTCTAATTGAAAATGTTTGACCGAGAGATCATGTGTTCGAATCTTAACGACCCCATTTGTTCAGCACTTGATATTCAAATTTGCAAAAACTTTAACCACGTTTAAATTGGTTTTTGTTAGTAGGAAAATGTTAATAAATATTAAATATTTTAAGATCCATAATTAAATCTTTCCCAACAACTCGAGTTGTTGATACTAAACGGTCTTGACAAAGAGCACAATTCAAAAGCAAATATCTAACTAAATTATGAATAATGTTTTTCGGTAATTAATTATAAATAATTTTTCGATACATATAGTGATATTTTTTATATTCATATATTTAATTTACCAAAGTTTTGTAAATAAATAATTATATCATGAATGATTTAAACAGTTAACAATATTATTTTATCATGTATATTTTTTCTAAATGGATCCACCCTCCGCAAAATCCTGGCTACGCCCCTGCTTACGAGTGCCATACTTAAAAAATTTGATTTTGTATATGTAGAATTCAGTATCACCGAGCTCCTTGTGATGACTCTTTCCCATCGCCAGCTCCCTCATTTTCAAGAACATACACTCTACTTCATTTGAACTGTCATTAACTAATCTACCTTGTTTGAATATGTGTGTTGGTGAGAAAATAGACTTCGTCGAAGTGAAGACCGCGTCGTGTTGGTGTCAATGATAGATGATGTGTCATTTTTCGACCAATAATTCTAATTGCAAAACTCACCAATAAAGGGTTTGGTCTAGTAGTAATATCACTATCCTTAAACTAGGAGGTCTTAAATTCGAATCTTTTAAATAGTACATAATCAAAAAAGCAAACATATATTACTCTTTGTAAGACACAAGAAAGGAGAATTGGGAATTTAGGGATTGAGAAGAGTAGAATTTAGGGATTTGGAGAATTGGGGAAGAACAAGAGAGAGAATAGAGATTAGGGATTTGAGAATTTCTGATTATTATTGCTTAACTTCCAAAACTAATGAGATGCATCCTTAAGTAGCAGTAAACCGAAATAACACAAAATAACAAGTTTGCCACTCCTTCCCCCCCTTATGGCCGACTCGGCCCTCTCCCTCTCTAACCCGAGGCCGTGTTTCCCACATCCCCTCCTCCTTCAGAATCGACATCGGCCTCGATGTCGAAGCCCGGAAATCTCTGGCAAAGCACCTCCGACTCCTCCCAAGTAGCGTCTTCCGGTTCCACATGCTTCCACTGCACCAAGCTCTCTTCCACCAACCGCCCTCCCTTCTTTGTCCACCTGGTCTCCAACACCTTGAGAGGAACTAGCTCCAAGTCGCCATCTGCTGTCATCGGAGGAGCCGTCGACGTCACCCTGTCCGCCTGGCCCCGGTACTTCTTCAGCAAGGAAATGTGGAACACCGGGTGTATGCGCGAACCTGCAGGTAGCTGCAGCCGATAAGCAACCGGGTTGACCTTGTGGATGATCTCATACCGCCCAAAGAACCTAGCTGCCAGCTTCTGGTATGCCCGCCTGAATACCGAGGACTGCCGGTAGGGATGCAGCCTCAACAGTACCCAGTCACCCACCTCAAACTCCTCATCTCGCCGCCCTGCATCCTCTGTTTGCTTCATCCTGTTGCTTGCCGCAGCCAAATTGGTTCTCAACTGCTCCAAAGCCTCACCTCTCGCGCCCAACCACCTGTCCACCGCATCAACCGAACTCGAACCACCTCTGTACTGCACCAATGTCGGGGGTGATCTCCCGTACAAGGCCTCGAACGGGGTCATTTTGATAGACCGATGAAACGTGGTGTTATACCACAATTCCGCCCAAGGAAGCATGGCCAACCACTGTCTCGGCTGCTGGTGGGTAAAGCACCTCAGATACTGCTCCAGGTGCTTGTTAACTATCTCCGTCTGCCCATCGGTCTGCGGATGGTAGGCCGAGCTCATGCGTAATACCGTCCGCGCCATCGCAAAAACCTCCTGCCAAAACCTGCTCAAGAAAACCGGGTCGCGATCACTGACAATAGACCTGGGAAATCCATGATGTCGTACCACTCCCAAGACAAACTGCTCGGCCACAGTCTTCGCAATGTACGGATGCGCCAACGGCATAAAATGAGCATACTTCGTGAGTCGATCCACGACCACGAACAACACCGTCTTCCCACCCGAGGGAGGCAACCCCACTATGAAGTCCATGCTAATGTCCTCCCATACCCGTTCCGGTACCGGCATCGGCTGAAGAAGCCCGGCGGGTCGCAGGTGAGACAGCTTCACTCTCTGGCATGTATCGCATGACTCCACATAGGCTCTCACAGCCTGTGCCATCTGGGGCCAGTAAAAATGGCCTCTAATTCGGCGAAGCATCCTCTCAGCGCCTGAATGACCCCCCAACGGAGAGTCATGGAACTCCTGGAGTACTGAGGTGACCAGGTTCGAGCTAGGAGGAAGAACCACTCGACCCTTGAACGTCACCAGCCCCTGTCGAAACAAATAATGACCCGGATTATCGCTCACTGCGATTTCCGGGCAATCCTGGAAATACTGGCTGGTCTCCATGGATGCCCGTAACTCATCCCAGAACTGCGGAACTGGTCCAGACACAGCGGCAAGAACCTCGCTGCCCGGCTTCCTCGATAACCCATCCGCCACCACATTAGTGGGCCCGGGGTGGTAGTGGATCTCATAATCGTAGCCTAGCAGCTTCGACACCCACTTATGCTGATCTGGTGTGGACACCCGCTGCTCGAGGAGGTGCTTCAAGCTCTGGTGATCGGTGTAGATGTGAAACTTCTGCCCCAAAAGATACGGCCGCCATGTCTGTACTGCAGTAATAATCGCCTGCATTTCCTTCTTATACGTAGACCAATCCTCCTTGGAGGGTGCCAGCGTCTTGCTCATGAAGG